TGTCTCGGGTTGTATGACCCTGCTATGGGTGGTCTGACTTTTTGGGCTGCTGTAGCTGGTCAGCCTGGTTATGCCTGGCCTGGTGTGTTCATTCACTGCGGGTATCGCTGACACCCATGTTCCATCACGCTTTCGCTTGCTTGGCCTCGCGGGCCTGGCAAGTTTTACCAACTCTCGCTACTCTACTTTGTCGAATTCGCCTGCACGGCTGACTGTACGCTCCCTCTCCTTAGGTTCAAAGCGAGTGCTGCGCACAACGCCGCTTCGGGCTGGTTAAACCTGCTCTGGCTGGTTTAGCTGCTTAGGCTGGTGGAACTGGTCCTACTGGTCAGGCCACCGAGGCTTGTCTTCCTGGTCTGGCGGTCTAGTTGGTCTGGATGGGGTGACTCGCAGAGAAGTGCAGCGCAACAGACGCTTCCTCGTCATCCACTTCCTCCCCCAGGGCGTGTACGGAGGCTCCGTGGAATGATCTCGAGCGCCTTACTGCGCCGTTGTGGACGACCCTGGAGCCAGTAGAACCACCTTGAGGGGCGTGGTTGTTTGCCTGGTCGCTGTTTTTTTTACGCTGAGCTGGCTGGAACATTTAATCTATCAAACATGCTTTTTTGGTAGGGCAAATTGTGGGCTGGCTCTTCCGATCCTGTGTGGTAAGTCTGCATGGTGTGGCTGGTTTGGCAGCCCTGACTGATATGTTTGGTTTGGCTCTCCTGTAGAATGAGCAGTAGCTCAATCGCAGGATGAGAAAGGGCAGGGAGACAGCGATGACAGCGATAAATATATATATATATAGAGAGAGAGAGAGAGAGAGAGAGAGAGAGAGAGAGAGAGATAGAGAGAGAGAGAAACAAAAAAAGAAACAAAAAAAGAGAAAGAGAAACACACACACACACACATCGAGAGAGAGAGAGAGATCACGCACCGAAGCTCGAGGAGAAAGAGGAGGTCGACCACAACAACAAAAACAAACCGATTAGTGAACCAACTTCGGCAAGACAGTGAAGAGAGGAAACGGAGGAACAAGACAATGCAGAAGAATGGCGAGAAGACGACGGCAACAATTAGCAACACTTGGGGCATCAGCAGCAGCGACGACAACATCACCAACATCAGCATCAATAGTAGCATCTCGGTGAGGAACGGAACGAGAAAAGAGGAAAGAGGGAACTGCATCAAAAGAGTCATACCAGTTCTTCTGCCGAAAGGCAGGTAAAGACCTGGAGTAAAGTTCCACCAGCCCTCTGAGCGTAGGTAGTCAACAAACTTAAGTCTTCTCTCTACTCCTCCCCCTACGGCAAATTCGTGTCGTGACGACCCCAGCGTTGGTTTCTGGCACCGCGTGGATCGTTCAACCTTGAACGATCGGCGGCTTTTCGATCGCCCGGTCGTTCCATATAGGCCGATTATTCAGGGCCTAACTTTGAACACCCGCGGCGTGGCCGCCGCCGCTCGACACGACGCGAACCTGCCGTCCCAGGGGCAGCGGTTTATCAGCGTTCCCTATAAAATATCACCCCCTCCACTCGGGGATCTTCTGACCCGGGTCAGTCCAGACCCGGGTCAGCAGGAAACCACAAACTGCAAGGCAGGACAGAACAAAAAACTGCAACGCAGGCGCGGCTCGCTGACCCGGGTCAGCCAGAGGGCGTCCTCGCAGGATCCTGCAAGATCTGGCGCTCTGGCTGACCCCCGTTTGCATTGACCCCCGTCTCAAGGCTCCCGATCCACCCCCCTCCCTCGGGCGACCGGCAGCCAGCCATGGCCACGGACAACCGCCCTTCGACGACCCCCGACAACGAGCAAAAACAACACGGCACACACACCTCGGGGCAACTGCTCGGGTCGTGCCCGTGGGCCCCGCGGGGCCGTGTGTGCGGCTCTCGTGGACAGGAACGGCGGGGGGGCTGTCATTCTGCCTGCTGTGCGCAGGGCCACCGTCCGCTTCCAAAAACAATATACAGTGGAGGCCAGTCCACAAGAAGCCTTCCACAAGAAACGCAAACCCCGAGACCCCAGGACGCCCATGGATTTTGGGCGTGGGGGCGTCGCGCTTTCCATCGCAAAACCCTCGAAACCCACGAAACCCAGGGCACCCTGGAGGCGAGCGACGGGTTTCTTGGCATGGGCCCCCACTGCAGAGCGCACTTCGCAACTGAGCCTGGATCATGCGCGGCCGCCCCGCGGTCACCGTGCATTGGTAGTCGGTCGAGGCGGCGGGGCTGCTGGCACATTGCCTGCTGCGTGCAGGCCCACCAGACACGATGGCCACCCCGCGGCAGTCACGCACTGGTGTTCGACAAGGACGGTGGGGGGCGACATGTTCCCCAGTGTGTGCTGTCACGTGCGAGGGCAAACCTGGAACACGCTGCGCGTGCCCCGAACGTGGCGCACCTGGCGCGGCTGGAGCATGCGGCACACAACACATGGCGCACGTGCACGTGGCGCATCTGGCGCGCCAGGCGTGCCTGGCAGGCTTGGGCCCCAGGGGTGCGCGCCTGGCACG